ATTTGTATGTATAGACGTCTCGTTGCTCGTGACATGGCTCTGTTTATCTTTTGATTTCGATATGACGCTTAGGTCACTTTTCGTTAAGCGTCTTGCCCAAAAATCTGACACGTCTCGCAGCCACAGACGTTTGTAATTACAAGACATTCGTATTGTCCCAGCCACAGTGTAAACATTATATTTGTATTACTTTTATTCCGGCGGCTCGACTGCTGTTGCTTTGAGATCTCCACTTTTTATACCCTGAACCCATTGAAAATGGGAAATCAGGGTATAATGGTTTTGTGAAAAAGTATGTAACGGGCAGAAGGAGGCGTGGCAGACCCCACAAAGTATATATATTCTTGATCAGCGTGACGAGCTGAGTCGATATAGCCCTGTCCGTCTGTCCGTCCGTCCGTCCGTCCGTCCGTCCGTCCGTATGAGTGCGTGTGGATGCATGTGTATGTATGTGTGCATAAAAGAAGTGCAGAATGATTAGAATATCAGCTTGGAGGGTTCAGGGTATCTCCTAGTCGAGCAGTCTCGACTGGAGCCTTCTTACTTGTTTTATTTCCTTGCCTCTCACGGCCTCTAGATAACATGGAAATTATCACTCCACTTCTGTTGTTCTATTTTTTAATTGCACACGATGAACATTTTAGCTATCCGCAAACAGAGCGAGCTGACGTCAAGTAAAGAACAATGTCCAAATAAGTCTGCATAGATTAGGGCCTTAAGAAAACGAAACGAAAAGGAATGAATGTAAGCCTTCCATAAATTCAAATACATTTGATATATACAATTCTTTTGAATTGTAGACAAATGAAGAACAGAAAAACTTTTTTTTTTTAATATTTCTTAATTTTCTTCTATAAAGATGTTAAATTCATGTTTCAATCAAAAATGAAATACCGCTAATATCTTTTATTACCTTTGAAATAGTTTCAAAGAGACTGCAGAAAAATAAAACCCAAAAATTATAAGAAAAGTCTTGTGAATAGTCTGCCGACTAGGTTTTATATAGACGGTTTATTTAGCCTTTGTTTGGCCATTTGTACATCAAGTCAAATCGGAATGATAAACATCAAACATAAACTTTTAATGCCCACAGTCCGGCCATAAAATGAGCACCATTCATGTCTGGATATATGTAGAGCTCAGACGAACGCACTGAGCGTATGCAAAACTTTTGTGGGTAAATATGCCATGGAAAGTTTTTTGCATCGTTGTTGCTTTATTTTCCTCAGAAATTCCATTGGCTGAACTATTCGAGATTTTCGTTAGCGGCGTCGCTTGCAAATAAAGATTCGTTTGTTCTTTATGCCTGTGATCAACGGCACGTGCAAAGGTGCTAGATTGAGCCGATGACGTAGGGGCAGCTGATGGCACAGTGCTAACGAGCCAGTGACCGTGACATAGTTGGCATCGTTTGGTCAGATACTATTGACATTTACCTAATTACTCAGCATGTGCCATACAAAGCTTGCTTGAGGGGCGGTTTGCGGGGCGTATGCGCAATGCGCATTAAGAGGCTTCCATGCCAGAGCCACAAAAAAAGCAAAGAAGAAAGTAAAGCAGTCGCTTAAGCTAATGAATGTCGAGTTATCACATGCTTAAATATTTAAAAGGAACGTTATTGCGGGAATTGTCCTCGACATTTAAACAAATGAAGCCCATGTGCCATATAAAACGCTTTTCATGGCCTGCGTGCTCACTAAAATGTGCAGAAAGCCAGACGGCTACACGTATGAATGTCTGGCTGTGCGTGTGTGGGTGAGTGTGTGTGACATCTCATAAGCACAGCAATGAGCTCTGCCCCCCCCCCCCTCTCTCCCTCACACACTCTCTCTCACTGTGTGCGGCATCCCCTGTCCACCCTGAAGCGTCGCAGCGTGATATGTGCGCCAAATAAACTTCAATATGACAACGCCTTCAAAGCAAGTTCGGCTGCGAGAGTTTTTTGAACTTGTGTTTTGTTTGTTATTTTCTTTCTTTTCTTCTTTTTCTGCTATTTCTTATTCTCTTCTTTTATTTTAGAGCGTTGACAATCACAATTTCATATGGATTCGGGGCGAGGCATAGGCCTTTGTTTGTTGGGGCCTTACAAAGTAATTGGCCAGAAACGCCTCAACAATTTGAGCGGCCAATTTCCCGTTTTGTCTCAAGAGTCAATGAGCTGTAGGTCTTTGTTTGCTTTTTTATTTAGATGGCTGCCAAGGGGGGCAGCCAACTCACGATAGCTGCCGTGCCGTGTCCAACAATTATTTGGCTAATTTATGCACACGCAGTAGCAGTTCTCATTATGGCCATTGATTGACACGACCTCCAGCCCCGGCGGCTGTTAAAGCTGTAGCCACAGCCACAGCCACAGCCACAGCCACAGCCACAGCCACAGCCACAGCCACAGCCACAGCCACAGCCACAGCCACAGGTGACGGTCTACGCGTGTTTCAAATTGTTTTCAAAACACCTGACTCATGTACACGTAACACACACACTCACACATACACACAGACATACACACGCCTCTTACGTCTAGCTACCAGCAGTTATGTATATCTAAGGAAGATAGCGTATGAGTCAAAGTTTTTATTATATTTTGTTTTCTCGTTATATATTTTTCATTTTTTTATTATATTTTTTTTTTTTTTACTTTGCTGCTGGCAGCGGCACGTGTTGCTCGTTTTGTGTCCAGTTCAGGGCAGAAACAGGCTAGAATGATCAGACCACTTTGTGAGTGGAATACGCAAGGGGGTTTTATATCATGCGAACCTTTTTTTTTATTATTATTTATTTTTATGTAAGTGATAGATATATCGTGGAGACATCTGACTTTGGCATGCATTACGAGTGGAAGCGTTTAGCAGTAAAAGCAAATAGCCCTCAATTATATTTTAGAAAACTAACTACCGTTATTTTAGTTAGAGGGAATATAATATATTAAACAGACAGCTTTCAGTGTTTTTTTTAATGCTCTTTATAATTATAGTAAAAATTTATCATACTTTGTGTGGACTTTAAAGATTATAAAGAATACGGATATTAATTTTTAAAAATATATATTTAATG